AGAGAGAGAGAGAGAGAGAGAGAGAGAGAGAGAGAGAGAGAAAATTTTTTTAATATTTATTTTTTAGTTTTCAGTGGACACAACATCTTTGTTCGTATGTGGTGCTGAGGATCGAACCCGGGCTGCACGCATGCCAGGCGAGCACACTACCACTTGAGCCACATCCCCAGCCCCTGCAAAAGAAACATCTTGCACATGCTAATCCTGATTCGTGGGGACAGGAGGAAGCAGGAAGCGGGTGGTGTGCAAGGTGTGTGTGTGTGTGTGTGTACGCGCGCACACATCTGGGCTCCAAAAGTGCTTACACGTGTGTATCTGGGCTCCATGAGAGAACAAACTTTCAATCCCCACAGCGGAATATTGATTGGTAATTTCTAAATCTGAAAAGTAAAGGGAAAAGCAGCAGTAACATTGCTATTCAGAAGTAAATGCTGAAAGAGCAGCCGAAATACCAGGGGGAGCAGGGGACTGCGAAACAGCCTGGGTTCCATCCCAAGCCCTGCAGAACGAGCTGATCTTCCAAACTGTGCACACTTTGTTTAGTAAATAACAAAAGAAATTTGAATCACCAAAAACAAAACCAAACAAAAACAAAGCACACTTCCCGCCACACCCAGCTCCCTGCAGCCTGGGCAGGAGCCCAGGAAGCCAGGCCTCTTCCTGGGCCCCCCAGTGTCCTTCTCCTCCTGCAGGTGCCCTGGGTCTTTCTGCTCTGTCCTGGTCCTCAGCTTGCACCCCTGGCCTGCCACCACCTGGAGCTGCCCTCTGCAAGGTGGGAGGAGCCTGAGAAAGGGAGGAAGCCAGAGGGGTAGGCAGGCAGGACACCACCAGCCCTCACTGGCCTGCAGCGGGTGTGGAGGCTGAAGGGCTTGGTCCCTTGGCTGGGGCGGGGAGCAGACTGTACCATCCTTCCACGCTCCTCGCCCACCACCCACCTGCCACTCACGCGCATGCCAGCACAGCCGTCTCTGCTGTTATTAGTAATGGGCAAAACTCCATGAGGGCCCTGGCCAGGGGAGAGCGGTGGGACCACTGGGCTGCTGGGGCTGCTGCTGGGGCAGGTGGGCCAGGCTGGAGAGACCCACCTCAGGCAGGCCCTTGGTGGCACCCCACGTTCCTCACCTCTCTGAGGGACCCGAGACCAGGCTGCCTTGGGTAGGAGAGGGGTGTCTGCAGCTGGGGCACTGCGCCTGGAGGGGAGGGAGCAGCCGGCCCCTCGTGCTCCCCAAGCAAGCAGCACGCAGGGCAGGAGCCCGCACTGGAACCTGCACACAGCTGTCCCCACCAGACACAGGGCTCCAGGCAAAGCCCGTCAGCTCTCTTCTGGGCGTGTGCAGTCGCTGGGATCTAAGGGGTAGATTGGTGCCCCTGCAGCCTGAGCTGGCCCTGGGGCCCATGGCTCTAGTGAGATGCTGAAGAAGGGACCAAGGGGCCCAGTGTCTGGTGCGGGTGGACTGGGGCTGGCCTTGGACAGATCCTACTGGTCATTCCAGCCCTGGCTGTGCCCACAGTTCCTGAGGTCAGAGGAGAGCCCTGAGGGGTCCTGGGTGAGACCCAGCAGCCAGGCCAACCCACTGCTGGAAGCCACCCCTTTCCAGCCCCTAGGCAGTTTGGGGGGCAGGGAAGGGGCACAGAGGCCCGCAGGTGAACTGGAAAGTCTATTTGGATCTGACTTCAATTATTAAGAGGTTCAAAAATATTCTCAGCACTGAAGAGCTGTGGTCTGCTGAGATGGACATCACGGCGGCCTATTTTTAAGGCTCTGCGGGAAGGAGCCCAGACGCCACTGCACTTAGCCCCCACCCACCCTCTGCTCAGGCGTGGTGTCTGGCTGCCCACCCAGCCCCAGCCCCAGCCCCAGCCCCAGGCCCCAGCCCCAACTGAGCCTGCACCCTGCTGCTTCTGTTTGTGCCCTTGAGCGCTACTCTTTGCAGCCTCATGAGAGGGGTCTGCCCCACTGTCCCTACCTGTGGCCTGCTGGCTAGACAGCCATTACCTCTGGCCTCTGTGGACCCTGCTTCTCCAAAAACAGCCTTCCTCACTGGAATCACCACGCACCAGGCCTGAGCCAACCCTTACGTTCCTCTGCGTGGTCCTCCCAGTCCCAGGGAAGGCAGGACAGATATCGTTCCCTCCTGACGTCTGTGTTGTGCCCAAAGCACCAGTGAGGCAGTCCATTCCTCAGCTTCAACCTTGTGCTTCCAATTTCTCTGACCGTGGTTCCTGATGGACCTCTGGGAGGGAAAAATCTGGAAGAAGGGCTGGGGCTGTGGCTCAGTGGCAGAGCACTTGCCTAGCACGTGTGAGGCCCTGGGTTCTATCCTCAGCACCACATAAAAATAAATAAGTAAAATAAAGGTGTTGTGTCCAACTACAACTAAAAAAATAAATTTAAAGAAATCTGTAAGAAGCTGGGAGGATGGGTGGTAGGGCCAGGGGGTACAAGGTGAGTGCATGTCAGGGGTGTGGTGGGCAGCCGGCCAGGGCTGTGCCTCCTGGGGACTCTGATGGCCTGGGGCACCCTGGCAGGGGTCCTAGGCCGCAGCTCAGACCCTCTACCTCAGCAGGTGGGTGGAATAAGGTGGCAGCTTTCCTATGAGCATGCTGGGAAACCGGAATCTGGACACTGCTGGGGTCTTTGGCAGCTAGTCACCCCTGCTCAGGTCCCCTGGAGTCCCCCTAGCTCCCTGCCTGCCCCCCCGCCCCCGCTGCTGCTGATTTAGGTGCATTCTCTCCCTAAGGGCCAGGCAAGCCTCTCCCATCCTCAGTGGGAAGGGGCCCCCAAAGGTGTGCCTCTCCCTGGGCTTGGGCGAGAACGCCTCGTTCCTGGCTTTCCTGTGTGCAGCGCCTGCACGGGCTGTGGCAGCCATGTGTCTCCTGGAGAGCCTTGCCCAGGTCTGCTTAGGGCAGTGACATGAAATTTTAGGGGGACAGCCCTGAGGGCTTCTACTATGACCCTGTTATCCTCACACCCTGGACAGGACTACACAGGGGTCCTGGCCAGGAGGCTGACCTGTGCACAGGTGTTCAGTGGGCAGGCGCCACCCTCCACCTACCATCTTGTTCCTGGGACCAGCCTGGCACTCATCCACACTTCACTTGCTGGAGATTTCCTGTGTCTGAGACTTGGTACGTACCTGCCATCTAATGCCCCAAACCTGATGAGGAAAACAGGTTCCAAGTGGGAGCTGGTGCTCAGCTATCAGAGGCTGCTGTAGACCCACCCAGGGGGGTCCTCAACACCCACAGCAAGCTGGCTTGCCTAGGGGCTTGGCAGCTTGACTTCACCTGATAGGATGCAATGGGCTGTCCCTTGGGCTCAGCAGGAACCTGTCACCCCCAGCCTGTGCCTGAGTCTCTTTCCCTGCTGCCCCCCTGTTTGGCCCACAGCCCAGCTGCACTAAGGGCACTGGGTCAGGTTGCCTAGAGACCCTAGGAAATACCCACAGATGGTGTGCAAGACACGAGTGTATTTTTTAATTTTTATTTTGGTACCAGGGATTTAACCCAGGGGTGTTTTACCATTGAGCCACATCCCCAGCCCTATTTAATATTTTTTTTTAGGGACACGGTCTCACTGTCTTGCTTAGCACCACACTTTTGCTGAGGCTGACTTTGAACTCTCCCATCCCAGCCTCCCGAGCCACTGGGATTACAGGTATGTGCCACTGCACCTAGTGACATCAGTCTATTGAAAGCTGCTCATGGGGAAAGCCCAAGGCAGCAGGCTGGACAGGCGGTACCTGTCCCTCACAGTGAACCTCCTGTGTCTCCATCTCTTTCCACACCTTGTCCAATGGTAGCTGGCTGGACAAGAGGAACTTGTCATCTCCATGGTGCCCCCAACACCAGGGCAGTCACCCAGGGAGGGGGGTTTGCCAATCAGGCCATGGAAGTGACATCATTAGAGTGCTCCATTGAAGATCAGCATCCCAAGCAGCAGCAGGCCTGGTGTGTGTGCAGGAAGGCAGCTCTTACTGATAACGCTAGTCTGCCCATGTACCAAGTATGAGAGTCAGTGTCCCTCAGGATGGCATTTACCTGGACATTCTGGTCTGGACGTAACATGGCTTGGGAATAGACAGGGGTGTTTCAGGGTCATGATGTCCCACCATCCTCCATTTCTTTAAGGACAACCCCCCGCCTCTTCTTCTCCATTGCTGGCCACCTTCCTCCAACCTGATCTGGAACTAGGGAAAGGGACCCACGGGATCTGGCAGCCAGCCCTCCACCCTGTCCTCTCCACTCTGGGAGCCTGGAGTCTGGGAGCAAACTGGCACATGAAAGACCGGGATGAGGCAGGCTCCAGGTGCCACCCACTGTGCCCTTCCTCTCAGTTGCCACTCCAAGCCCATGCCAAGAGAGGAAGTGGCCAGATGGGTCTGGGAATGAGCTGCCTTCCCACAGTGGAGATGGGGCTTGAGGCTATGCCTTTGGGTGGGGATGGCAAGAGCATCCTGGCTCTCCAGAGGTGTGCATGGGCCTCAACTGGCTTCCTGTTTGGAATCCTCTGAAACCCTGGGTGCCTGTGCCCACCCTTGGCTTCGATTCAGAGTGAGGACACTTGTGGGAGCTGAAGCATGGCCACACCAGTGTGGATCCCCTCTGTGGCCCACGATGGCTGGAGGGTATTCAGAGGAGTGGACGGGGCAGGAGAGCCAGGGTGCTGGCACAGCCTAGGCCAATGGACACGGGAACCCAAATCCTCCCCCTGTGCTCTAGGAGGACAATCGTAGGCACTTTCTGGTTTGGGACTGACCCTGGGAAGGTCTGTCCTATTTGGGTATTGTGGCCACACCCACCAGCCAGTGCTGGAGAGAGTGGGCTGTCATTGACCAAGCTGGGCTGTGCTTGGCCATCAGCTGGCTGTTCCAGGGTGTGTGTCCAGGGCCTGGGCCCATACCTGTGGTTAGGTGAGGTCCCCACAGCTACTGTCCTGAGGCGGGAGTGGGAAGCCAGCAGCCCGAGTGCTCACGGCACCCCATCTCCTCCACTCCAGTCCTGGCTCTGCTGCTCCTGGGAGCCTCCAAGTCTGTGCTGGGGCCTCTACTGTGGTCCTGAGGGGTCTGTAGGCTCTCCTGGACCCCCTTTGGGGCATGCCTTTGGACAATGTGCCTTCTGACCCCTGGTAATGACATGGAGAAAGGGCCATCATCAAATGCCACAGCCAGCCCAGACTGTGGAACTCAGCAGTCCAGCGGCCCATCTCTCAGTTCTCAAAGTAGCTTAGCAAGGCCTAGGAACAGCCTCCAGGAAATGAGGGCAGGGGGGAGACGGGCACAGAGGAGGCACAGCTCCCGAGTGCTCGGTGCTGCCAGGCTTGGGCACCTCACAGTCTTCCTTTGGGGAGGGAGGAGTGCCAGACGCAGGTCCCGAACCCAGGATGCCACTGCGGCCTGCGTTGCTGCTTATCAACACCCTGGGCCTCACCTTCCTCCACCTAACAGCGTGACTGAGTACCTGCCTTTTGGTGAGACTGCCGTCAGGCTTTGCTACCTGCCCACAGTGCTTACGACAGGCCTGCACTCCGACCCCCGGCACATGAACTACTGTGCTGCCTCTAGCGGTGGAAACTGAGGGCCAGGGTACCTGTGATGTAGCTGTCTGTGTAGGCCTTCCAGGGCCCATGCCATTTCTGTGGAAACCGGGCCAGGGTCCCATGAAGGTAAAGCCATGAGAAGCCGGGATAGCCCTGCTGGGAGACAGGCCTTGGGCCAGATGTTTCCAGAGAGTTCCCTCCAAGCCAGGAGTCTGTCTCACTCTCCTCCCCCTTTGGGATCTCTTCTGGGTTCCTGGCCAGTCCCAAGACACAACACTGAAGCAGGGAGAGGCTGGGCCACTGCAAGCCCCCACCTGTGGGCAGCATGAGCCTTTCCTGGGGCTCACCTCGCGTGCCCTGGTTCAGATGGCCTGAGGTGTCCCAGAGTCCTGCGAATGTGTTCTCGAGAGCGGATGTCAGCCTGGAGGAGACAGAGCTCAGTGAGGTGCTGGCTGATTCTGAGCCAGACTCTGGACCCATCGTTCCTGCCCAGCAGCCTAGGGACGCCCCCACACCTCCCACAGAGAGTCCTTCTCAGGCCCAGCCTTCTGGGAATCAGGACGAGCAGGCCCTGGTGTGTGGGTGACAGGGATTCCAAGAGCCTCAGTATTGAGGCCCTGAACCAGGGGAGGAGGGTCCTGGGGTCCCCACGGGAGCAGCTCTGCCTGGCTTCCCTAGAGACGCCACTCAGCTCTCTCCTTCCAACTCCTGCCGTCTCTAGAAAGCTCAGCCAGGTTACCAGAGTGAGAGGGAGCTGCGGGGCCTAGGTGGAGACTGGGACAGACCCTAGTGGGGAGGGATATGTAACAGGGCTCAGTCCCAAGTGGGACCCTGGCCTCAGGAAGCCCCCCTGATCCTGGCTCAGATGGGTTTAGCTTAGCTTTGGGGCCACGTGACTCATGGGTGGCAGCAGCTAATCCCCAGATGGTCCTGCTTCAGTTAGTGGGGAAGTGGGTCAGGGTGGGCAGTGGGTGGCAGCAGAGGCGGGCAGCAGCCCTGCGTGGCAGGAGCGACTGCACCAGACACAGGCGGTGCACCAGCATCTACGACCAGGGAGGGAGACTGAGACCACACCCATCCCACACACGGGAGCTTCTGGAGGGTGCTGAGGCCAGTGGCCCAGGAAGAAAATGGCAGGTCTGGGACCCTCACCCGTCCCAGCAGGCGCAGGGACCATGGGCTTCTGGGGACAGGTGGCTCTTCTCTGAAGTGTGGGTTCAAGACTTGGTGGGGGCTCTTCTCCAGCTAGAGGCACATGATCCTATTCCTAGGTAGTCAAAGCCTTTTCAGGTGGCTGACCCCCGAACTGTCAGAAGAGGGGCCACTCTGTGGTAAGCTGAGAAGAGGGCAGAGACCTGCCCAGCAGGCCTGAGACAGCACAACCCAGAGGTCTAGGGCTGAGGGCCTCTGAGAGAATCTCCTGGATTTTTTTCTCATTAGGCTACTAGGAAAGATGGAAGAGGAAAGGCCTCTTGGGGCTGGGGACACTCACAGGTTTGACAGCCCATGTGCCTAAGACCCCAGTGACAACCTGGATGGAGAGAGAGCAAGGCTCTTGCTAGTGAACGCCCACAAGCCACCTCTTGGCACAAACGCCCCAGGAGCACAGCCATGGTGGTGTGCAGGCTGCTGCTGCCACCTGGAGGCCACCCTGCACTCTTGCAACCAGGCCGAGGCAGGATGAGGTCCACTCTCCACAAGCCTGGGGCCTCTGCTGGGTGGCTGCCTCATCCACCCAGCAGAATCTCCAGGGCTGGGCTGTGGAAGGCAGGGTCTCAGGTGCAGACCATGCCCCAGCTCCTCCCCAAAGGCCTGGTAGCACACAGGGAGCTGCTGCCCCAAATGGCAGATCTGACCTGCCCATTGGTTGCCTAGTCCCTGTAGATGAGGTCTACAATCTGAAAGCTCAAGACACCAACTGGCTACTGGTTGCTTTACCCCTCCCTGTTCTGGCTGAGCTACTTGTGCACATCAAACTCCTTCCTGCCCCAGGGCCTTTGCAAATGCCATTCCTGAGCCAGAAATGCTCTTCCTGAGGACAGTTTCTCCTTTTGGCTTCTGTGGAACACATACTGGCATGTGACTGATGTTCCCGCATCATGATTGAAGGCGAAGGTGAGCTGTGGGCATCCTGTGCTCAGCTGCAGATTTGATTCCTTCTCAGCTGAGCCAACTGGCTCATCTCAGTGCTGATACCCTGACCCCTGAGCACCAGTTCAGGTGCTGGGTACCTGGTGTAGCCACACCCTGGAGTTCCTGATTAGCACAAGCCTTCCTCAGCCCCTCCCCCAATGTTCCTGCAAGGGCCTCCAGCGAGGGCTGCTTCTTCTGGGCTCCTGACTGGGGACTGGTGGAGCACTCTGACATCAGAGCTGACATCAACTGATCCTCCAAACAACCTGGTGCCTGGGGACAGGAGGCTCAAGTGAGGGAGAGGCTGAGTGTTGGGCACAGTGGCCTCTAAGGCATAGGTAGGCAGTCTCGGGAAGAATTCCTGGGAACTCTGCATCCTCTTGTCCACCCTCCTGCCTCCAGGGCCCAATAAGTCCACACTAGGCTCTCCAGCAAGGAGCCCATGGACCTGCCCTCAGCCCAGGGCCATCTGGTCCTCAAACCACTACTGTGTGACCCCAGCTGAGCTGACAAGTGGTGAGAAGTAGAGGGGCATGCGCTGGACCCCACCTGGCGCACAGGCTCTGGGATCCGGAACCTGCAGCAGCATTGGGTCAGGCGCACGGCTGCCTCCAGGCTTATCTTGTGGCCCACGGAGATGTAGAGAGGCTTGGTGCTGTGGCTGTGGCTCTTCAGGGCCTAAGCATGGAAGGGAGGTCAGAGAGCTATGAGGACACAGGCCCCTGGGTCCAGGCCAGCCGCAGGGGCTAGAGGCGCTGAGGAGATCCTGGGTGGCATCAGGGGGCTCTTGGACTCCCATCCCCTAGGCTCCTTCCCATTGCCTGTCCCGGGGCAGCGTGGGCAAGTGCTGGCATCAAAGAGCCTGGGGTGCACGTGTGCGAGTGCACACACTGCCCTGACCTCCAGAGCAGGGCCAAGGCCCAGGCCACTCACCATTCCCAGGACAGTTCCAGAGCCTCCCATCAGAGGAAATGTATCTCCTCCAGCCTGCAGGAGCCGGATCTGGAAAAGGGGGAGAAAGCTTGCAAAAAATGTCTTTTCTTGGTGAAGGGCTGAGGCAAGCCTCTTCCTGTTTAAAACCCAGTCAGAGCTGGGTGCAGTGGTGCACACCTATAATCCCAGTGGCTCAGGAGGCTGGGGCAAGAGGATCATAAGTTTAAAGCCAGCCTCAGCAACAGCAAGGCACTAAGCACCTCAGTGAGACCCTGTCTCTAATAAAATACAAAACAGGGCTGGAGATGTGGCTCAGTGGTCAAGTGTCCCTGAATTCAAACCCCAGTAGCAAACCACCGCCCCCCCCAAAAAAAACAGTCACAGCCAGGGAAGGGCCCTTTCTTGGATGAATACTATACCCGAGCAAAGCCATTTGCTGAGACAGCCCTCAGTGTGCCCAAGGACCCCATCTGACTTGAAAACAGGGACTTTGAGATGGGCAGCAGTTCACCTGGGACCACAGCGCCCTGGTAAGCAAAGGAGGGGGCCAGGGCACACAGGGCCACCCTGGCAGCAGGCTGTGGCCAGGACTGAGCTTCTACCTTCCTCCTGCTTCCTTTCCTACTAGGAACTTGGGCCCGTGTAGGCCACCTCCACACTTTCCTTTGCAGGGAAGAGGATGGGCCCACAGTGGGTTGCACTGGCCTGGGTGGTACCTGGACCCCCACCCACTTCACAGATGTTTATGGAACGAGTGCTCCACACAGTGCCTGAGCTGGAGGAAAGGATAGATAGGGTCTCTGCTCTTGGAATTTGGTGTCCAGTGGGAAAGCCAAAATGTTAACGTCACCTCCTCAGTGCAGGCTGTGGAGCCAGAGAAGGGAGATGCAGGGATGAGAAAGGGTGTGGATGCAGTCATAGGCAGGAGCAGTGGCCCAGAGAACGGGGGTGCACCGTGAGCAGGGCCTGGAGGCTGAGCTGGGTGAGCACCCTGGGGGACAGGCGACTGGGAGGCACGGGTGACTGGAGTACATGATCTACAGTAACCTATAGGCATGTGGCAGCAGCCCAGAGGTGGAGACAGAAGAGGCAGTCCTAGAAGGGGGAGGAGTCCAGGAGCCCCAGGGGCTGCAAGCCACAGGCTGGGAGGCACCCAGAGCACACCAGACCCGCTTTATTCTGGGCCAGGATCCAGGGACACAAAAGTGTCTGGGAGGTAGCTGACCCGTCCTTCCCATCCCCAGGGCCGCTCCAGCACCTGCTGGCTGAGCCCAGGCTGTCCAGGCCTCCTTACCTTCTCCTTGTGCAGGGCATTGTTCTCCAGCCCATCCACCTGCAGGAGTTTCTTGGCCACCCCAATGCAGGGCAGCTCTGTGAGGACGCCAAGGTGGCAGGCCACCCCAAAGCCTGGCAGGGGGCAGAGGAGGGTGAACTGGGGCAATGGGGTTGGGCAGCAGTAAGCCACGTAGCCTGAAGATGGGTGCAGGGTGAGGATGAACAGAACCACACCCTCTGCAGACCAGCAGAGCACTCAGGGACCAGACTCCAAGACCCTCTCGGCTCCGAGGTCCTGAGTGAGGTTGAGGCAGAGGAGGCCTCCTGCCTGGCAGGCCCAGTAGCCTGATCAGCATGCTCACAACACTTCACCCTCTGCTTCCTTTCATTTTCTGGCAACTTCCTTCCTCCTCTCCCTTTGCTGCTGCCCTGAGGCCTCTGCATATCTTCCCAAGGCCTGTGCTATGCCCTGGAGCAGCCAGCTGGTTCCAGCACTAGCATCCAGGTCAGCATGCATTTACCCTTTGGCTTTGGGCCAGGATGACCATCAACCTCAGCACTCTCCTGGGCCAAGGTCCCTTCATCTATAGGAAATGCCACTCCCATCTGATTCTAGTCAGAGGCCTGACTGTCCAGCTTGGGGACAGTAGTGAGGGTGGGGTGCCCTGAGCTCAGACCCACGACTTTTCACAGGCGACAGGCTGCCACTAGACCAGGGTCCTGGAGAGGGGCCTGCGTAGGGTACTGTTGGGAAGAGGAGGGTAGCAGTGAGGGTGGGGTGAAAGAGGGGCTCTTCTCTGGGTGGGGATCTGTCCTGATGGTGAAAACAAGCCCAGAAAGCAGCCATCAGTGCCTGGCTGGCAGATGCTCTTGCCGTGGGGTGGGAAGTACCCTCTCCCAGTCTCTCCCAGCACCCACCCTGACCTTCTCTTTTGGGAGCAGGATTACCTCGGTGGTGAAGCACCCCATTTCCATCCACAAGAAGGACCTACAGAGCCACAGGGGAGTCACAGTCAGCTAAGCTGACCCTTACTCCTCAGGTTGGGATGTTCCTGGAGCTGCAGGAAGGGGAACTGCCACAGGGGTCCAGCTGTTTTGAAAATCTTCTTTTCTGGCTATGGTGGTGGTGGTGGCTTGCAGGGGGCCTTCCCTCCCCCAAGCAGAAGCAGAGGGACAGCTTTCCTGCCCCTGGGATGGGTCACTTGCCTGAGGCATGAGGTCTGGCTCCTTCTCCTGTAGTCGCTGCACCAAATCCAACAGGAAGGGCACCTCTCGGAAGGCCAGGAAGCCTGCCACGTAGGGGGCCGTCAGGCTGACCATTCGGCTCTCTTCATACACCACCTGCCACCAGGCATGCAGGTCAGCAGGGCCTGAGGCCACCTGCTTCCTCCCTTCATTTTCTCTGCCTTGTTGCCCTGTTAACTGCCAACAATCAACCTTCCCTCTCTGCCCCACCTATGGGTGGGACATGCAAGACAATAGGTTTGAAGGAAGGGACAAGATAACCTTCCCTGAAAATGGTGGTGGGGATTGAGTGCTCACTCCGGACCTGGTGAGTTTGAGGACCCCTGGCCCCTCTTCCCAGGAGCTCTTCTAAGGGTGGTGACTAGCCTCACCCCTAGGTGCCCCTTGCCCTTTTGGGCCTCCTTGTAAGTCAACACTGACTGCACCACGTGCATGGGCCACTGGAGGCTCAGAGACAAGGCACAGGAAGGCACTAGCACGAAGGCAGCATCCTGTGGACACTGGGAGGGATGGGAAAGCCAGGTCTCCTGGAGACTGGGACAGTACGGTTGCCACACTGGCTTTATGAAAAGACCTCTAATCATCTAGAAAGGCGGGCATGCCCTCAGAGCTAGGAAATCTAAGAGAACCTGTGTCTCCAGAGACAGGAGAACTTAGAGACACAGAGGGAGGAGGGGAGTGCACACTGGGTGGAGCCACAAGCTCAGCAGAAGAACTGACTGAAGACCTTGCACACACTGCCAGGAGGTGAGGAGGACAGAGGGCCCAGAGGACCCAGGCTTCCTGAATGGCTGGGAACAACCCAGAGAGCTTTTAAAGTTAACTCCCTTTCTTAGGCTTCTCTGGCAAAGAGACTGTTTCAAACCCAAAAGACCCTGCCCCACAGGGAAGAGGGTTGCTGGTTATAATCTCGCAGGGCCTGTAGGTCAGCCTCTGCCTAGAGCACCTGAGGGCGGAGTCTCCCCAGCCTGAGTTACTCTGTAGCCTGGTGGGTTTCATTCCCCACCAGGGGGCACAGTGATATCTCTGACAGGCTCATCTTATCATGGGCTTGGAAAACAAAAAGGGGCTTTCCTTTCTTGTTGCTCTATCTGGTTTTTGGAGCTTGTGTGAAGAAATTCTAATTAAGCAGCCACCATCATTCTATGGGGACACAGGATGCACCTTGTGTCCCTGTGGAAGGTCATCTGGAGGCTTCAGCCATCCATCCTGCTTGGGTTCATTAAGAATCAGTTTCTCTTGTTTACCATTAGAGTGGACCCACCCCACTTTGAGTCATTTGTAGGTAAGTTTCTTACTGAGTTACTGATAAAAAGGCCAAGAGACAAGTCCCAGACTTCCAGGCTAACACAGAAGAATCAGTTCTCGTAGGTGTGTTTAGTAGAAACTGTAACTTGGGAGCTATCACTAAGACATCTGGAGGATTCAATAACAAAAATGGGGGTGAGGGAGGTAGAAGGTTCTAGAGAATGTGTGTGTAGTAGGACTCTTGGACTTGCAGCCTCCAGAACTGAGAGAAATAAATCTTTGTTTATAAGGCACCCAGTCTGAGGTATTGTGCTATAGCAGCCCAAATGGACTAAGACAAGGGTGCAGGGGCCACTCCTGGACTTGTGGGGTCAGGGGCTCTTTGGGTCCTAATAGGGAAGTGGGAGCTGGCTAGGTGAAGACTATGCCAGGAGAGGAAGTGTGCCTGGAAAGGCCAGGTGGCACAGCCTTCGAGGGAGCAAAGCTGTCCTGAGAGGTTGTGGTGTGGGGAGTGGGGAGTGGGAAGGATAACAGTGGTGGGAGCCCAGCCTACAGGGTCATATCAAGCAGAGAAAAGATCACAAAGGGCCTTCAAGCGCGAACTTGATTTATCTTGAGGGCCCAGGAAGGACACTGAAGTGCTGTTAAGAGAACTCATGGTGACAATGATAGACTTTATCTTTTTAATTTCTTATTTTTAAAGGAAATCACTTAGGCACCAAGGAGCAAGACTTGGGGTGGGGAGCCCATGACAATTCGGCTCAGAAACCTACAGGAGCAGAGATGGCAGCACAGACAGGGTAGGGGCCAAGGGGCCAGATCCCAGCAAGATTGAAGAAGCTGAAAATGCGAGGTGACATCCCACAGGATGTGAGGGGAAGGGGAGTCCAGGAAGGGACAGCTGCTTGGGCAGCTCTGGGTGCGTGCTCCGGCCAGGCTCGGAGGTCCAGACCACGGGCGGTCCCTACCGGCCACAGAAAGCCCTCGGCCTCTCTCTTTCTGCTACCCCTCCAATGCCTCTCGCCTGTCACTGGGGGGTAGGGCTGTCCTGGCCTGTGCCGAGGAGGAGAAAAGGACAGAGGAAAGGCCACCAGTCCGCTCCCGCCTTCGGCCCGCGGTCCCTCCAGGTTACCTCGAGCTCGGGGAAGCTGAGCACCACCAGGGAGGCACAGGCGCTGACGCTGTCCCCTTTCACGAAGGACACGTCCACGCCGCCGACCCTCTGCAGACCCGAGAAGGCGGGGTCCCGCTGCCACGCCTCCGTGTCGCGGTCCACCAGGAGAGCCT